AAATGATTCTAAAATTCATAATAGCATCACGATAGGCGCTATCAGAAGTTCGTGACGAAACAGTAATTTTAAAAAGTCCACCTACACTAAAGATAATACTAACAATGCACAGTAGAATCCGTTTATTATAACTCCGTCTGTATATTACAGAGCTGAGTTTGGTTATCGTAGAAAGATTTAATGACCCCGCTTATGCTGACATGTCGCTTATTATGACGCTTATTGCGACTCTCCTATGAAACCCTTACGCTTGTTTCATAGGAGAGTCGCACTCTCCTTGAACATTCTCACAACGTGATAATTAGTGTATTTTTATTAGACTACATGTACCTAATAAAATTGGAAGTTGTTTATTTTCGAAGAATACCTACTTACATTTTTATTGTATAACTATAGCTGAGTATGACCTATTTGTATTTTCCCTGCAATGTCAATATAAACAGATATTACTGTGTTCTTGTTTGAAAATATTAACTTTCCTACAACGTTCATTAATGTTGTAAAAAGTTGTTTCGTTCGCCTCCTTCGGTTCGGATGGATTTGCATAAGTCCGAATGTAATCTCTAGTAGGAAAAATGGAAGCATGTCTCTAAGTGTATTTCTTTCATACCTGATGTTTTTGAAAATATTCTATCGCCTATGTTCATCAGGGATAATATATGATTCTAATAGTAATAGAATTTTTAAAATTGTTCCAATAGTTCAACGCAAATAAACAAACAATTAAATCTTTCCTGTTTAAAATATTTGTATAGTTAAATTAATATATAACATTTTTGGAATAATGTTGTATACTTAATGTGTATTAGAAGCGTCAATAAATGACAAAATGACTATTGTTTAAGAAATTTTTACTCAAAAATAATTTATTTAATTCCCTTATTGTACAATTTGATAAAATTGACATGATTAATAAATAATTAGATTGACAATGTTTTGACACAATTGTAATATTTTGATTAAATACTATTATTGTTAAATTTGACACAATTTTATGTAATTATGAAATATTTTAAGTTACATCAATTTTATTATTATTATTAGGTATTATTATTATTATTTTTTGCATTCTGTTCAAGATGGCTAAATAGGTCAAAGCTCTTAAACTGAAATATCACAACTGTATATATAACCCTTTTTATTGCAAATAAAGACATTATTATTATTATTATTATTATTTGAAAAAAAAATCATCATTAGCCCAAAAAAAATATTCAAATTGGATCTATACACAAAACATAATAATATATTTACGTTTATTTAATCTGAAACTATACAATTCAATAGAAACATGAAACGAATTTCAGCGTGTATGTTCCTACGATAACACGATCTCTAAGTAATACTATACTTCGTACGGTGTGTCTAGTTCTTTAGATAAAATAAGTAACATGAATTCGATTTAAAAATAATATCTTTCATGACAATACGATTGCGACGTCATATTACACTATCAACTTTTTCCTAGAATTTCATACAATTTGTTTACAAACACTGATAATAACAAATAAGTAATAAAGAAAACATGATAATGAGTTTGAAAAATTACTTTGTCTGGCTTAATGTTTTTAAATTTAAAAACATATAATACCTTTTTAACTAAGGTTATTTATGACTAGTGTTGCCAGCCGTCCGGATAAAGCTGGCAAGCATGGGTAGGTTTTTTGATTGCGGGTCTGGCCAATAGAAACGGTATTCGGCTTTTTACACTTCGCATACGAGCGAGCGCCGAGCGTAGCCGATCGCAGGCGAGATGAAAGATTTATGGTAATAATAAAAAAGCTTGATTTTACATTTTTTTTGTTGGCCTTTATACCCAAATGTTCGGCTGGTTTGTCCGGCTATTAGAATGGCGACCTGGCTACCTATATGACGACCTCCTTAGTCGAGTAGTGCGTACGCCGAGTTCAAGCTATCGCCATCTCTAAGGTCCCGGGTTCGATTCCCGGTCGGGCCAAGTTAGAAAACGGACTTTTCTATATTGTCTCGGGTCTGGGTGCTGTGGTAACTTCGTTGTCTCGGATACTCCATAATACGGGGGCTTTAGGTTGTCTTATATTTATTTATTTATATTTTATGTGATATACATGGTTATATTATGATATTTAACTAAAAGTAAATAGAAAATTCATTAAAATTTAATTAATTCTTAAAATTATACCTTAGATTTGATATTTCATTTTTAGGGTTCCCAGAAGGTAGAAACGGAACCTTATTACTAAGAGTCCGCTTTATGTCTCTATCGTCAGGCTCTAATGAACCATGACAGCAGTTGAAATTTACATAGATGATGTATTTCTGTTGCTAATTTAACAACAAATACAGTAAAAACTGAATAAAATAAATATGTAAGGGAGCTCACATACGACAAACCTGTTTCTTTTTGCGTTTTTTTATATATAATAGAATGAAATATTTCGTGCGCGAGTCCGACTCTCGCTTGGCCGGTTTTATTATAAACTTTATACTGGTGGTATTTACTTAATGAATAAATAATATTATGTCTTTGTACTTGTGTTGTACATATCACTCTGTATACCTATAAAATGGATATTAATAAAAAGAAGAGACACTGGTATCTCTTTGGTAAATATCATTTCCTTAGCAACTGAAACGATCAAATATCATTTCCGGGAGCACCGTCTAATGCATAATTAGTGTCGTTTCCCAATTTAGAGCACTTTAAACTAATTTGGACCTTGTTTACGCAATTTTACGTGATATGATTGTATGTCACTAAGTGTTGTTATTATGACAATAAATTTTCCTGCACTGATAGTTCCATGTCGTTATTTTATCACTGGAGGTGGAATGTTGTAATATAATTAAAGTCATATAATCTATCCCGTTAATGCCTACTCGTCAATGGTATTTGTTCGGGAGTCATAAACAACTATTTCAACTGATTTATGAACGTTATTAAGTATTATAATAATAGTGATAGGATGTTTCGTTCAAGATTTATAGCGTTGCATTAAATACAGCATAATAATTTTAATAGGCAAGACCCTTAGTATCCACAGTATTTTAATCTTTTTTTATGTACTACTGGGTTGACATCTGGCCATCATCTGTCCTGTGACTCTACCGCATAGGTAACCGAAGCCCTTTTTTTGATAACGCAGCGGAAAGTACCTTAAGCTTTAAACCTGGGCTCTCAAACTTATCATGAAAAGGTCAGGTCCCAAGCTAGGTCCCAGTCTCCCTGATTGATACGTCCAAATGAAGCGCAATCATCAGTCAGGCTGATAGATTAATTTGAAATTTAACAAAGTTCATACTACAACTATTTTTTTGCGACTCAGGAGATATCTTTTCACTGTGGTTTTGTAGTAACTCAGGTAAGTATATGCTTTGAGAAACATGAACCTTTAGAATATAAAGATGAACTTATTAAAATGCCAGAAATTACAAAACGTTTAGTTCTACTCTTTTAATTAATGGTTTAAGATTTTTTTTTACGCTATAAATATCTAATGTTTTAGTCATCCTATCAACCCAGTGCTGGACCACGGGCCTTATCTATGTAAGAACGGGCCATAAACCACTGGTATACTGATGGTTGTGTCATATATTTAGATATAACCAAAGTCGATTGTTAATATATCTATATACCCAAGCACCTCCCGTGCTACTCTACACAATTTTAGGTCTCTTATCTGATGGTCAATCTTCTGCAATGGCAGAGCGAATTCCAAACTAACTACATAGTGTCCCATCGTGCTCTTTTTTGGGACAATATCCATACCTTTCGGCTCAAAAGGCGTAATCACTTAAACACTGTTTTTCAGGAGGGATTTAATTTTTTTTCTATTACCTAATGCCCTTTTATGTTAATAATAATTTATATTATATTATCGTCATAATCTCACGGTGACTTCATATTACAAACATTCTTTGCCATGCAATAAAAATTGATTTAACCCAACCTGTTTAAAAATAAATAATGCAGACTTATTGAAAATGTATAATAAAAGTTTTTGTGTTAAGAACGTTGTAGAATACATGAATAACATAATACATTCATAGTTCATCATTTGCTTAGCCTTTTGTAAATAAACATAAGATACGAAGATGTTTGTTTGACAAAATTTTGTATTAACACGACGACAGCTCACATTAGATCATCATTTAAAATGTACAAATATTTTTTAAATGTTTTAGTATAGTAGGTATACCTGGTTAAGAAAAAGCTCATTAAAATGTTCCATTTGTTGTTGAAAATACACTTTTTTTCGCTACCTATCTAAGAACTACAAAAAAAAAAAATCTTAAGAAAAGAACTTAAAGCAAGTTTTTTTTTTAATTATTCTTTTTAATTACAAAATACTTTCCAAAAATTACTTAGTTACTTTCGTTAGCGATGATATATTCCCTAAAAACGAGGTACTAATATAAAAAATCTTTTTGCCTGATTTAACCTGACTTAAGCCAGTTATAAGATACTCATTTATTTATTTATACTATCTATATTAGAAGTGCATTAAATAAAAATCTGAGTAAGATATAAAAATTAATATATAATAGATAACAAATTAACTCCTAATAAGCCTTAACGTAATTAGTTTTCATCAACGATGCGTTTCCATTTCAACCCTGATTACTACTATATTTTTATGATATGCCCCAAGTAAAATAGATTAAAAGATTAAGATAAAACCATATTTCTAAAAAGTATCTACCTCTGTATAAACTTTTGAACTTTCGGTAACATCGGGAAATATAGGAAGGTAAAAAACCTAACATTCAAATTCTATCGCGTTAATACCTGTCTTATACAATCTATCTCTCTCTGGTCAAATAGATGGAATAAGTAAAACAGACATCGAAGGACTATCATGAAAATAATATTGGACGAAGCAAAGCAGAGCAATTTGGGTTGGTAAATCCGTTCCATGCGATAAGGGCATTAATTCGTCACGCGCGATACCTAGCACTCATAAGTCTCTTTTCTGTTGCTACCATCCGTTAGTGCCCTACCATTTCATAACAATTCATACCTGACTAAAGAATCGCTCCCTCGCTTCTGCCATAGTTTCTCCGCGTGATGTGTTGTCATCAGTGCTGTTGGCTTCGTTTTTCTGCGAAGTATCATTTGTAGGAGGAGCTGGAGGAGCAGCAGCGGTGGTTTCTTCCACGGGAGCGGCTTGAGTCTGCGCCTGGGCCACTTCGGCCGCAGGTCGCACAGATGCGTCTTCCGCCACGGTCACCACTTTTACACTCCCGTTACCTTTCCCTACACCGTTTGTCTTTTTACTGATACCTTTCAACTTGTTCTTTTTAATCTTCGGTTTCTTTGGCGGTTTGCCCTCGTGGAAGCGTCCGCTGGCGCAGCACTGCACGTTACCCATGTCGGTGCACGCGCATGTCGCGGTACATTCAGTCTGCGAGAGTCGGCTCGGTCGGTCGGTCGTTCGAGGCGCGTCGGCGTCGTCGGCGCCGACTCGCGGAATGAGAGCGCCGTGAGAGTCCCCAGCGTCGCGGTGCCGCCCACCCGCCCCGGTATTTTCGACCCGAGTCCGGAATTGCGCTGACCACTGATTACGCGGATGCCGTCCGCGGAGGATCGCACCCGAAAGCCGAACCGCGTGCCGGCCGCGCTGGCGTCATCGCGCGCCGTCCCCCCGCGCCGCAAGGTCAAGGCGCGCTCATTGTTCCCTGGTGCTGCTAGACGCGCATCGCTCCACTCGGATGCGGGGCAACTAGGCGACAACTGGCGATACCACCCGCCGCTGTCGGCACACGAATCCGCTATCGATCACGCGATGTTTACTGTTGGCTACCACGGGAACGGCTGTTGGAGCGTGACGCGCTCTCGACGCCCTTCGACTACCTAGGTGTAACGCGATAACACTAATCAATCCGTGTTTTTGAACTAAAAAGTTATAACTGTTTCAGTCACTTTGTTAATGTGGAACGTTACTGAGGCCACTGTTATCGAACACTCGAGAGAAGCTGATATTGAGACGCACGTGTTGCGTCGCGCACAAGCCGTAGTAAATAAATGCTTGCTCGTAAATGAGACAGCGTCGAGGAAAACGATTGGCTATAATTAATACGTCACTGATTTGTTGTCGAAGCGTGCGATACTTGAGACTCGTTCAAAATTGTTAAACACAGAATCTGCTTTGATAGACTTCTGAATTCATTATACTTCATTTAACCTTCGACTGTGTAGGTAAATGTCATTTTGTAATCTACTCTCAAATTATTTTATATCATTCGCATTAAAATCAACATATCAAAAATATGAGAGTTCAGTTATCACAATTATCTAAATCATCGTCATCAGTCTATTACTGTCCTCATCGTTGGGGAACGGACCATTTCTATGGATGTAGGTAATAGGGAAACAGCTCATAACGCACCAAATGAGCTCAGTCAGTGCGGATTTGTGGGTATTAACATCTGCAGATGCAGCTTATACAAGGCTTGACCACTGATACACACACTGACGAAGCTCGAGAACATTTTTAATCACCCATCCTATGAGAGGCCTTTACGAAAATCACTTATCATTTGTTTGTCATTGTGCCATCGAGCTCAACACATAACGTTTGAAAAATATTAAAATAAAGATTGTACATGAAGTCTGTACCGACATTGTATAAAATGACTTGTCATTACCATATTACAATGTCATTACACTCAATGACTTGTGAAAAACCATTCCACATGTCCCCGATAAAAATACGAGATTCGTGAACGCACAGATGTCTTATCTATCTGGATTGCCGTTTCACAATTCCCTTAGCACGCACGAGCACGACACACATATTACTTTGTATTATATTACTTTATCAGTGGGTAAGTTCGCTTTTTGGGCTTTGTTTTTTCAGTAATAAATATATGGAATGAAAATAAAGCGTCTGAAGACCAAAACTCAACACAAGCTTCTAGGACTGATATAAAACTTAATCAAAATTTTTATGTCGTATCTAATAATAATGGGAACTAACAGTATTTATTTTTAATCTGCCGATTAATTTTATCTTTTATGATACGATTGATAAATCGTTAATTAATATTAAAAATATATATAGTCTCCGTTGTTTTAGTTTATCAAACTAATGAGTAGTTTTTAATTAAATATTCTCAATGGAGTGTAAATGAGTAGTTATTTTTTGTCATCCAATGTCATTTTGGGACGTAAAAATAAAAGAACCTCAAGAAGACAATAATTAAATTGCTGAATTTCATCCATAAAATTTCAACAAATATAAGGTTTTATAATAATAAGTTCGACAAGCATTCAGTGAACAAAAATGTTATTTTTACATATATTAATAATAATAATAATAATATACTTTATTGCACTCAATATGATACAATGTTTACAGGAGCTTATTATTTAAAAACATTGAGTAAACAAATGGCGGCCTTATTGCTTAACAGCAATTTCTTCCAGGCAACCTATGGTGAAACTGGATAACGAATATAGATACTGTGGGGAGTGGGTGCAATATTGAGAAGGATAAATACATTAATAGCGTTAATATATTATGACAAATAAAAAAAATATATATATATATAAACAATAAAGAATGTAATAATATATACATATGAAATGGATATATTATTTAAATATTATTTTTGGTTAATAGTTCTGTCCTATAAAGTCAATCGAATATAAGGAAACGATAAATCGAATTGTGATTTCCGATTGATGTTAGTTGTGAAACGGCTAACCGGCTACCGTCTACTTTAGCGATAAAAGCAGAAATAGCTTCAAGTGTAGGGAAGTCGGGAATGTAGGGCGAGGAGATGTAACGCATTAGCCACGGACGTTGATTCCTACTGGAGCAAGACATAGATTCTGTTCCGGATACGAGATGTTGCATTCTGTTATTGATTTTGACGGCTTAATTTTTATGTGATTATTTTTAAGTTTTCGTACTCGACGTATCTATTACTAACATTAGAATCTTCAGTCGAGCGAAGTAATTAATTGAGAAATTGACATAACTAAAGCAGATATTTTTAACCAATAGACAAGAATTTTAACGAAAGTACTTTTAATAGCTAATAATAATTGTATTGCTCTATTAACAGTTTTAACTTCATTCAAATTCTTATTTATTTGTTAAAAACATTTGCTTAAGTAGATACTTTCACTCGACTATAGATACGGGATTAAGAATCCGCTGTCCGTATGTCTATCCGTTGCCAGAGAGCCTGACATCAACACAACAACTACAGACTGACAAGTCTGTCAACAGGCTGTATCTCATGAATCGTGGTAGATTCATTTGGCATTCTATTATTATATACGTTTAGCTAATTAAACTATAAACAAGACCAGTTAAGTATAGAATCACTACTCTATTATAAAATATCTTTCTAAATGGCGTCAGCTAGGGCAATTTGTAGTTCAAATTGAACTCCATATTACTCTAGAGCCGCGATGCAGGAGTAAAATCTGATATCCGTGTCATTGGTTAATTTTGGACAATATTCGTTGATGTCATTAGAAAAATCATCTTCGGCAGCTTATTAGATGTATATAGCATAAAATTAACTAGAATAATCATATATTTTGTAATTCAACGGTCACCAAGAGAGCAAACGTTGAAATGTTCATTAATAATAATAATAAATTTATTTATTTCTCCGCATAATACACAGTTACAATTGTCATTTTATTCTTATTCAATTCAAGGACGGAGACAGGTGACCGATACTAGGATCATCCTGTTTTACAGAACACCAGGCCTCCACAACCGAACATATGACTCTAGTAGTATAACAAAAGTACAGGAGTTAATGTTCTTAACATTGTTTAAAAAGGAGAATAAAGATAATAAAAGTAAATATGAAATAATAAAATTACAGGTGTTGTGAATGTGAGTGTGTGTGAAAAAGATAAAATTTATTTATACGATTAAGTTCGGCTAATAAGAAAATTTTCTGTTTCATTATAGCTTAAACTCAATAGCCATAGTATAACAGCTTTTTTACATTGATACCTATTTAAAGGGATTCATTAGACCAATGTCGTACAATAGTGCACAAAGAATTTGTGATAAGGCACTATGACGCGCTCAAGGTATATTTAATATTGATAAGAACAAATCTGTCCAGCAACGTATAGTATACGTAAAAAATAGAGTTGGGCCATCATCAGTGTGAATGCAGTCGGGCGACTATCGAATGAATAAGTGGTCGGACGCGAGTAGACGTCACAGTTAAAAATAACGAAACGATCATTCGTGATCACCGCGTTAGCTGACTGACTATGCGCTATGAATGACTCATCTACATTCGGTTGTAGTATGATTTTTTTAAAAGCAGCATCATCTTGCGTATTCGATTTTGATTTATTTAATATACAATATTTTCAGTTTTTAAATTTAGCTGGTGTAGGCTGATTCGGCTGCTTCGAATGCCTCTTAATGTAAATATAAAAAAAAATTATCATCCTGCCCAAACGTCTCCGAGTTAGTTCCAAACCTAGAACCAGTATTATGAAATTAAAACACACTCGGTACATTATTGAAAATTATTACTACAACATAAAATCAATAACTCTGGAACTTCAAGAGACATTAGAATTACCTACACTAATCAATCAATAATATGTAGAGAGCATACTGTTTCTTTTACTTTAGCTCTACTTAAATAATATATTTTTTTCATAAAATAAATATGTTTATTGAAAGCACATCACTAGAAAAAGTCTGGGTAGCTAAGAAGAAAAATAATAAAATGGAAATTCGGGTATGTAATACGACTTTTACGTAAAATATTTAGATTTAAACGGGACGACAATTATATCGGTTGCCGGATCAAATAAATATCTCCTTGAAATGTACAATAATATACAAATAATATACAATAATATACCTAATTCTAGTGAATCAACTACACCAAAGTTACTTACTGCAATTCATTAAAGTTTTACATCGTGACTTGAATTAACGAAAACTTTGTTTTGGACATTGGCCTCTTGAGTTCAGAAATATTTGATGTGACCATGATTTATGTTTTAAAGCAAATTGTATATTTGTATGTCTATATGCGACACAACCATCATCTTCATCGTCAGCCCTTTTACGTCCCCCTTTGCAGAGGCTCAGGTCTTCGTTGTCAATGCAGAGAGAAAATCAAGCATGAAAGGCATTAACGACTGCTAAAGCATCGTGGACCAACATGCCTTCCGAAGTAAGGAGTAGTTCGAGATTTTTTTTTGTCACCCATACCGTGAGCGACCCTTGCGAAAGTTGCTTAACAACAACGATGGTACGTTACGGCGCTTTTGTATTAGGATCGACTCGTTACTGTGCAATTGATCTCACAATCAAAAGCTAAATAAAACCTTCACGCTCGGGTTTTTTTAGCTTTTGATTATTGATACTGTGTTTTAATAATAAACAAGCTATCAACATTTACGGTGTATTCATTTATGAATATTTACTGCGGGAATTATCACCGAATACATTCCAATTAATACTCATTACTTATTTATAATTTACTATTTTATTGTTAAAAGGTAGTAATTTTAATCTAATTTAAAGATTTTGGAAAAAATATTCACCCTACTAATTTCAACTTATTAATATTTTTAGAACTCATTTAGGACTAATGTATGTACAAAAATAAAAACTTACCGTATCAGCATCACTTTCTTCAGTAGCAATAGCAACACCACGGTCCAGGTGTTGCTCAGCGGTGTCCATCTGACGCTCCAGCTCGGCAGCTTCCATCTCCAGCTGCGGAGACGTCTGCAACTCCTCAACTCCTGCTTCCGATTCTCTTTCAGGGTCCGAATGGACTGAATGCCGTTTGGGCATCTTTAGCATCAGCGGACGAAAATTATGACGGTTCGATCCTGTAACAATCAATTGTATATAGAAGAACGTACCCGTGTACTTACAAACTTTCTCAAGTATAGTGATTGGAGATATGGTATAAACACTCTGTTTTGTTGTATCTCTAAGTTCACACAGTTGCTTTCCTTATAGGATAAAAATGTTTGACGGTTCAAAAGTACTTTAAATAAGTTTATTTGAGTAAAGATATTTTGACTTTTGCTTTGACAGCTAATTTTGATATATTTTTTTTTTGTATTACCGGTGTCTTGCTAAGCTATACTATATGGGGTTTAAAAAACAAAAGATATTAAAATATTTTAATGTTAATTCAGGATTAGATGATCTGTATGCCAAGCAATATTTAATCGAAATCCGTTTAGAAATAAGTTTATATGATATCTACTCCATTAATGATGTTTAGTAGAATTATTATTGATCTGTGAAAGTTCGTAGAAAGTATGTATTCGATATTTTATGTTCCACATTTTTATGATGATAAAGGAATATAGTTGAGTTAATATTTTAATCTCTACAAATAGCCATTTAGCTGGTTTGTAACGATTTTCAACTTCAATATAACCATCACTCTCTGAGCATTGTTCGAAACACTTTTACATACAATTTTTTTTAATTGGTTTTGCTTTAAGTAATTTAATAGAAAGAAACAAAACGGAATTGTTGACCACTAAGAATAAAACCAAACAAGTATTCAATTGAAACCCCAAATATATACTTATCAAGGATTATTTTTAAATGTTGTTGTTTGAATAATTTATCATAGCTAAGTTTACTCCCACGGATAACATACACTTGTTGTGTATGGTCGAAAATCTATTACGTTGATTTACATAAACCCGTTAATACACCGCGTATTTATGTGCTAATAAGCACACGTGAATATTTACAGTTCCTGCTTCTTACCTTTCTCGTCTTGCTGAATTTTCCTCATTGCATCTCGAGCGCCTTGCAATGTATGTGTTGTGGTTGCCGACATTGGTCTGATCGTGACCCGTTGTATACCGCTACCAGGAAGCAGAGTTGTATATACCCTCTTTGGTTCATCTCTTTCTGGACTCCTCGAGTAAGTAACAGGCTCTTGTTCCGCATCAATGTCTATGAAACATTCGTCAAACTGTTCTAAATCTGAGTCCAATTCCGTTCTTGAACCATGCATCTTGGGCCGGTAGAACGAATCCGAATTGCGCCTGTAGTCCAAGTTTTTCGGTTCAGGCGTGGAAAAGCTACGGATTACATAACCTTTCACTGGACTTATATGTGCACCATCTGGCTCACAGTGAGTTGGTGGCGAAGAATAACTCCTAGGCAAAAGATTTTTATGTTGTGCCTTCCGTTGCTGTTGTTGGCTTGTCCTTATGGAAATCAAGCTTTTCCCTCGTGCTGCGGCCGTCGGGGGTGCTGGGTCTTTGCGTCGCATATTGTTCGGCTGCTAGCGTGTGATACTGAAAGTATACAGCTCCGAACTGAGAGTGAGTATCGCAAGAACGTACCACGTAATAGTCCTGTGCGTTGTGCGTGTCCAGTTCGACCAGATCGAATGTCGGTGTCAAATGACAAGGACGGGTGCAACTAGATGATATATCATATGGTAAGGAACGGTGAACACGACTGAATGATCAGATAGACTGGGCAGACATTAAAATTTAATTTGATTAACAGGTTCGCCCACATCGTACACTGCGATCTTCGATAACATTAGTAGTGTAATCTGTGGCTCACGTTCCGCAGTACTTATATTCTATAGAACAAAACGAGTTGGACTTGCGCGCCGAGGGTTTTGCATAAAATAGTAGACGTCTTATAAGTTTTTCCGTTATCTACAGTTAAATAACTAATTTCTCTATTTTTTTCTAACTTAGAGACCAGACCCAGATAGACCCAGTAGTTTTGGTAATAAACTAAAATAAAACTTAGCTAGAAAGCGACATTTCCCATTTGATAAAGAAATTTAAAAAAATCTAATGATCTCACTAGATTTTAGAGTAGAAACTCAAAAAATTAATGAATTTATACTTTTCTTGTAGATACAAGAGAAAAGATTAAAATTCATTTATTTTTTTAGTTCCCAACTTACGGGTGGAATTGGCAAAACGGTTTCGGAACTAATTGTGACTGACGAAAAGACTGCTGACACTGTTGGGGTTCCGTTATTTCTTATTAAGCACGGAATCTTAAAAGTAATACTACCTATAAAGTAACGTTTCACTTTCATCATAATTTAATCAAGGCACGATGTAATGTAAATGCAAATTAAGTAGATGTATTTTGTTAAAACCGAAATACATATAATTAGGTAAGGAGATAGGGTAGGCTGGGTACGGTTGTAACAATTTTTCTTTAATCGTCCACAGCACAGCTATCACAACTGGGAACAACCACCAAAGTTTTTGAAATGAAAGTATATTTATTTATCTTTAAATTAATATCAAAATTAATAGCTTAGGTAAGACAGTTTAGCAGGAATAAGCCGTTTTAAAGAGTGTGTGCGATTGTTACAATCGACCCCACACCAGGGGCGGTTGTAACACTTATGGGGGGCAGTTGTAACGCTAAAAAATAATATATAAATCCCACGTCATAAATCAGTTTTATTCATAAAAAATAACTAAATGCACTAAATACAAAATAACAACATTTGAGGCACATTTAAATGGTCTTTTTAAATAATAATAATTAATCAAAGTTAGTCAACAATACCTGAGGTTATACAATAGTTTTTTTTCTATATTAAATCAAACTCATCGCAATTATGGCATATATAATTTATACTTCCATCAGTACAAGCTACGTGAGACCATTGTTTGCAGCCTCCTTGACACTGAATCCAACTCTCTCCAGACCAAGTACCAAAATACGTCTCTAGGCAAAGAAGGCAATAATACAGCTCTTGGTATTCGCTAAAAACTCTATTATGAGCTACATATCTCATGCTAACATGTGCAACCTGTTCTTGGTTATCTTAATTAACTGCATACGGCTTTCGCTTGTATCTCAAAAGAGATACATAGTTAACGCCGTACATCTCTGCAGCTTGCTTTAAATAAGCCCCTAATTTAACTTCATCGTAAGTGTTCTTGTACGACAAAATGTCACTTCCACCTCCCGAAGTCTTTCTCATGCGTTTCCTAGGCATCCATAATACAAAAATATTATAAAATTAATGTTACAACCGTCCCCATGAAAATCGTTACAACCGTCCCCACCCTCCCATTTTGATAATAAGTCTATCAAAAGGATGAGGTAGCACAACATATACAAAAATGAATGAGCTTATTATAATCTTAAAAATACGACGATTACATAAGCACATTTCGAAATACGATAATTATATTAATATTTAAGCTATATCATAAAGAAATACCCCAGAAATACTTATTTTTGGTTGACAAAACACAAGGGGCCTCCTTGTAAGCGTTATTACCGTGCGAAAGGTGACTCTATATTGGCGATCGTGTCGAGATTTGTTACCGGCGTGCCCTTTCATTTTTGCCCCTCACCTACCATTCATAGTTTCGATGATATTCGAGTTGTTACAACCGTACTCTGTTACAACCATACCCAGGCTACCCTACTTCGTATGTGTATGTATGAGACGACTTTCCATTGTAAGTATTAATGGATCACCTCACGATATTGTAAACAGCTCGTTTTTTTTAACGCAGTTACAACATTCAAAACTGGCATGATCCTCCAAAGACATTTTGCAATAATATCTTCATTTATAAATATCTATACTGTCTAATGCATAAAGAGGAAAGATGTGATAGTCTGTTTGTTTGCACTGGATAGACTATGAAATTACTGGAAAAATATCAAAAATACTGTCACCTACGGGAAACTACTTCATACGCGGGTGAAGTCGCGGGATTACATATTGTCTTATATATTGACATTTTGTGGCTGTGGCATTTTCACTGTTGTAAAATAAATTATGATAGTGACCATATATATAGTAGAACGCGATGCCCATAGAGCTTTAAGACTATTATTATTCTTATATTATACAACGTCTCTAAGATAGAACTATTATGCCAAATCCCAGGATAGACGCTTTTAGTTCCATTTGTTAAACAAAATTTTCTTATTGTTTTACTTAGGTAGCCTTTCTATAGGTTCGTAATTAGTCACACAGACATAAAAAAATGTTTTATCCATCAGAGCGACAAATACAAACCTAGTATATTTTAATTTTCTTTAAATAAAGTATGAAAACTATGAAATTTATGTCACATATTATTAAGTAATATGACGAAGGACAATTTTTAAATGGTCATATTGTGATCATATTTTTTAAAGTTGTTCGTGCCATCTATATAAAAAATGTGTAACTCACAACTAAGTACAACACAAAAGCATACGAATAGCATGCTGAAAATTTTATTGTGAGGTAATAATACCTACTGATGTTTTTTTTTATACTTTATCGGCTAAGCGACAGCGAGCTTAACTCCATTTTTTGCTAGATGGCGCAGTAATTCATAATATTATAATAATTTCAATTTTGAATGCGGGTTTCAAGAATTTGTTGTGCTACGTATCATTAACTTATTTGGCGCATAAGCGCTGATTTTATATTTGTATGCCAACGCTTTATGGCTAACTAAAATGCTACTATTAAAAAGGTCCCATCGAAATAAGTCAATTCTGTAATTGAAAGTTACAGCTATTATTTAGATTTTTTGAAGTCTTTTTTTTTTTTATAAGTTGGGTTCAAATTTTAAGATTTTGTTCATGTTACATTACATAAGAAAACTTTAAGAGTTTTCTTTTATAAATGTTCGACTGTGATATAAATAATTTTGACTTACTGAATAGCGCAAAATAATTAATGGCATAACTTGTAGAAACTGCTTTTTTGTAAATTGCGCTTAACTTTTTAATTTAACTCAAAATGCAGAGGAAGTTTTGATAAAAACTTTTAAGGTACTTTTTTGAGATACTGGTAATTATTATCTATCCTATTTTAATAAAAACGATAAATATAACTGCAAAATTACTACAAAGTGTCTACAAAATGCACCGGCCGTCCGAGTTCAGTTTGCTCGTGTAGAGTCCTTTAAACTTTCATTATTACTAAAAAAGACAGACAGGTCAACATAGTGCGTTTCTTTCCACTCAGTTTGTTTATTTACTTACTCTTTTTAATATAAGTTTTATAGCAGAAACAAACCAACCAAATCTTGGCACGCAGCGAGCTAAAACTCCACTCTGTAATAGTATCTTATGCTTGGAAGTATTGGACGAGGAAAATGTTGGAAAATCGCTTTGCAGCCAACCTATACTTATGTAATCATACAATGCTCTCTTGGAAATACATTTAACTTTGCCCACTCGACGGATGATCAGTCGCGTACTACCCAAATGTGCCAATTAAAATGTGCCGTATTAAAATACGTAGATGCGAAAATTTTACGAGTAAAAGTAGTTCGAAATGCTTCGTGTAATACTTGATATATGGATCACGTTGACAGTTCCTTTATTTTATTGTTACAAATAATATAGAATCAATATTATATTTAAACACGTGTATGTTTGTTTTGTAACTTTATATATAGAGAGACTGCTTTACTGCACAAGAAAGTATTCGTTTAGTTTAGTAGGGAACATTGACAACACAACTTTACCACCACGTACGGTAAGTGAAAATATCGATAATGCTAACTGTAGAAACTTTTCCTTCTTCTTATAATTAAAATCCTTACACTATTTTAACAATTTAGTGTTGAGAAAGACGTACCTCAAACTACGTATTTTCCTGAAGTTTCTATTGATAATTCGGAAAGTTTAATTAACTTTTTATAAGTTTCATTGGATTTATCGATAATGCTAAGTGTCGAAACTTTTCCTTCTTCTTATAATTAAAATCCTTACACTATTTACTTACAGTTTAGTGTTAAGAAAGACGTACCTCAGACTACGTATTTTCCAGAAGTTACTATTGATAATTCTTTAAAGATTTATTAACTTTTATTAAGTTTCATTGGATTTTTGGAGGGATGTTGTCATTTTACGTTTATGCAACATGGCGTAGTAGAGCTGAGGGGTGAGGGGAGTTATATGACCGAAGACGGACGGGTAGATTCCTCTCTCTATATCATCAACTTGAAATTTCTATCTTACTCGGTTCCACTGTTTGCTATTTTCATTTTTGTTGTTTCCTTTTTATTAACCTCTACACAGTATTTTTTTAAACAGTTTTAATGTTCTTTATCACTAATTTTCATAAACCATATCTTTCAAACAATCACTTAAACATTCCAAATTGACAATAAGACATAAATGTGAGAAAATCTGAAAAATCTGAAGTTTTTAAATTATACCCTGATTTCATGTAAACAATTTAGTACTGCTTCTCCAGATAACTTATTTTCAAGGGCTGATCCACCGTAATGGGCACGACGGGCATGATCTTTAAAC